TTAAGAACAATAACATTACATTATGAGTTTTGAACCAGTTTGCCGTCAATAAAATCACAATTAGTAAAATACCACAAATGAATTAGCGCCGAATAATTAGTTAACAAATAAACCTTATGTATTGAACCAATTAGCGAGCTTTTCTGGTGCCTTCCTCGTTCATACAAATTGGTATCATTAACGATACATTATCATCAGAGCAATATTTAATTTGTTTGCAGTAAAATTTAGCAAATATTTGAACAACGGTTTACATCACTCACAGCATCGTTTTTAAGAGGTCGAAGTCTAAATTTTCACGTTGGGATGCAAAATTTGCATTTACCATTTTAATACGCGACAACTCAAACACTGGCGTGTTTACTGTTAAACCGGTACGGTTTTCCTGGAAGTGCACAATAAACTAATAAATTTTACCTTCGGCGTGTTCATTTTTTTAATGAGGTAGGATTTATTATAAGATAATCGGTCGATTCAATAATTATTTTTACTCGGATTATTACACTGCACTTTTCATTGCACAAATGGAATTGTTAGCAGTAATATAAATGATTATTGTAATAAGACAACTTTCAAGAAACGTTCGGTACACCACTAACTTTGAATAATGTTTTAAACATTGATTGCATTTATCATTGTATTCAAAATTGTCAATAAACGATTATTTCCATTAAATATGTAGTAAATAATTCTTTTATTGTAATAAGTGCAGTCGGAAAAACTACATCAATATGGGAGATATTACACTAATTTGATTTCATTGTTACGTAAAAGTACGAATAAAACTGCAGACAATGCAGTGTATCTCCGTTTAGACTGTTTCACAAAAGGTTGGTCTTTTGTAAACGGTAGTTTAAAAAACGGTTGACAATTGTTTGGTAACAGTCAGTTTCGAAATGTAAGTACATTAACTCATTTAACGATTTAATTTCGTTTGAACAATAATAGTATTAGATTAACTGTAAAGAAAAGTTTAATGGACCTAGAGTGTCTATATCAACACCTAAATGCAAAAAAAGTAAGTACTAGAGAGGATGTGGATTCTATGTACTATATATCATGTGTATCGGAATAAAAATGCTAGAGGACTTTGATTTTTTAATCAACTGTTACTGCGTATTGCACAATGTTTTTTTTAATATGTTTATTTAGTGACTTTTAATATATCGATTTTCTTTATTTTACTGAGATTTGAATAACATTTTATGCATGATTATTAGCGTAGTTACTTTATTAGTTTTTCAAGAGATTTTTAATTTAATACTCGCATTTTCTATTTAACTAATACTATTAACTATAATATACTTAAAATACATTAATTTATTGACTTTATATTTTAGTGCCAAATTACAACTTTCCTTTACCGACATTAATCAAAAAATATTTCACTTACAACAGCAGGTTGGTTTTAAAGAAATAATTATAATAAGTATTTAATTATCGGATATTCAACACTGACATTGACGTAAACCACTATCATTACAACCGAATAAATAATTTGATAAATGGTAAATTTAACAAAGTAGTTTTTAATTATCGTGAGAACATGTAACGGCAAAAGTATTCGATCTTATGAAGTTACATAACAATTATTCGAATGCCTAACTAGTTGCGCAGCCTTTAATCATCCACGTTAATGATCATATAGGCCAGAAGCTGCAAGGCGTGCCGTAACATTTGCGAAAAGCAAAAAAAACTGGGTCAAATTCGAAGTGTTTATTTGATTTTTGTTATTCTATGTGCACGCATAATGAATTTGTAACACAGTTTGATGAAATGTAGAAATGTGATTTTGATGTAAACGATAAAATTCTACATGCCTATAGGCAATGTTTAAAAGGAATTTGTATTCAAATAGTTTTTCTTGTTAAATAAAATGATTAATTTTCTGAAACGCTTTTTTTCCCGGTAGGCAATTAAATAATTATCTCAGCGTTACTCAGCAATAAAAACCTTGAATTATCTTATTGTACATCAATGTGCGATAAATAGTTGATGGCGTACCTGCCTAAAAGCACAATTTGCAACTATTAATTTCCCCATGATACATCAGTAACATGATAATTAAATCTTAGTAAGAATAAATGCCAATTCATTCTAATAGTTTTATCTGTAGTTTTATGAAGAATGACCAGACAGAAAAGTATTTTTTATGTCTATTTCGGATAAAACCTGTTCGGAATTTTATTTTTAGTTTATGCTATTACATAATTCAATATTTGTATTATTCGCACTTGGAAAATACGTTTAAAATCCCTGTTTTATTCTGCTCCTTCGGAAAAGCTAATTGACTAAAAAAGGAATTGTTTAAATATGCACCTATGTATATGAGACAATTGCCATTTAATTTCCTAATTGCATAGCTAATTTAGACCAATTATGGCCATCCTACTGAAATCCAATTCAGAAAATTTCGTTTTTTTCTTCTTCAAAAACACAGGTCATGTGTCGCGTGATTCAATATAGCGACCCGTTAACATGGCTTATTAAATAACAAAATTGGACCAAATTGAAATGACCTCTGCACTTTGTGCCTTATTGTAAGTATCCAGGTTGGTGGTTGTTCATTTGTCGTCTGAAGTACAAGTACAGAAGAAAGAAGAATAATCGTTATAGTGTGAAGGAGAAATGAAAATAGTACATTAAATTTATTATTGTAAATTAAGTGGATATAAAAATTTAGAAAAAAAAATTGCTAAAGACGGTTTGAATAAATTGTTACAGCTTGCTAACACTCAAAGTTGGAATTAAAATATCAGTTTTGATCGATGAGCCAGCTTAGCGTCTTATTGATATACCAACAATCAAGTACGCTCAAAGATTCCATTTGTTTTAAGGTAAATACATTGGATTAAATCTGATAAATTGCGTATTTCGTCATTCCAATCAATAGAAATATTCCTTAACTTCAGTGGAGTATTTTTTAATCTATCGTTAATTTTGAAACTTTGAACTAGTACTGATGTTTCTAGAAAACGAATGTTCCAATGGAACATCAGAGATTAATCAAACCTTGATCCATTTTAAATTCTAGTAGGTACATTTCATAGAGTGCTTATGTGGTTATTTTATACCGGACATCTCAAATTTGTTTGAATAGGGATTGTTTACATCTATTAAAAACTAAGTTCTGTAAAACTGGAAGCTTCGGAGTTAGCAGAACGATTTAGCAGGACGATGCATTTTTAAGTATATGTGTATCTAAAAACTAGAGACTGGAGTATCTGTAAATCGATTTTTCCTGTTAATTTTTGAGATAAGCAATAAATTGAAGTATTAATTGCAATTGTTCATTATTTGACTGAGTGAGATTAGGGTGGGTGTCAATCCCATTTATGTGAATTATCTATTTTTTAACAGATACAAGTTTATTATTCAATTAAAATATAATCAATATACTAGAGGTGGAATAAGTACCTATGATAACGCCATGAATTAATTAATTTCGATATCTATGGTAATTTTTAAATTGAAAAGCTAAAGAGGGCGTATCAATAAATAAATAAATACCTACCCACCTAAAGAGCAAAATCCTATGAGAGCAAAAAAATATAAAACATATTTACTGTTTTTATTATTAATAATAATTATTATACATCTACAGACCTGCGTGGTTTTCTATGATCTGCTCAGAATCAAAATCGCTCGATTCATTTTTTGCCCTATCTTATCTAAACGGTAATTGTCATAGTTCTAAAAGCGCAAGTCCAGGTCCGCCACACTCCACACGAATAATCTTCAATTTACTCTAATTGATGACATTTGTACATCAGATTCGCTTTCATGATAAATTATGATTACGACCGCTTCGTACGAAGGTAATAAATGGGAGATACCGCGAACACATAACAGATCGCTTTTTTCATATTTATTCTAAGCTATCAACCTGTTTCTTTTTGTTTTTAGTTGTGCTTCCTCGTAAACATTAAGAATGCTCCGAAGTGATTTGTAGTAGCAGGCAGTAGTTGATTTGGAACCTCACGTGCTGTAGAAATAATTACCAGGTGAGTACAAATTGTATGTTATTATTTATTGTGCATGGTGTAAATAACCATAGAGAGATAATCATTTTTCTTGACGCTGGCTACTTTATTAGTTTCTGTCAAGTTTCATTTGTATTGTTTGGGAACAATATCGAAATGTGAACATAATTTGGATAGTTATTAATTGTGCAATTTCCCTGATGAAAGAAAAATAAATATCAGAAACGTTAACAAATTTGCAGTCTATTTATAATAATAAAGCGTAGAGTAAGTACCTACATATAGGGTGATCACAAATTGTACAATTACATATTTTGACTTGTTTGTCATTGAAAAAATGTTTCAACTTATTGGATAAAAAATATTACGGAGGGCTGCATAGATAAGTCTAAATTTGTAACCAATTACGTACGTTGTGGTCTATTATTGCAACAAATCCAACTTCCATTAGTCATATAAAGGAAAAAGAAATAGTGACAATAGTCGGATTGCACCTACTCTAACCACTGTTATTTTAATATTCTCTCTTTGTTCAACACATACGAATAGAATGAACCATATCAAACAAATTTACACTTCTCTCTATATCCGGACCGGAAATCAGCGAATCCACTACTATTTCCTCTGAGACTATGATATTTTTAAAGCAATTAAATAATACTAGTTTAAATGGTTTTTATTTCAATATGTTGCAATATGATATATTTAAATGGAACTATTTATTGCTTCGGTAATTACTCCGTCTTAACCATTAATTATCTCACGCACCGGTATAACGTTAATTTGTTTGGTATTTAACACAATTTAATAGGTCTAGAAGTACGATTTATTTTCCATCAAATCAAATGAATAAAGCAACACCTATACTGAAAAACTACACGAGTGCCTTATTGGAAGTATTCCTATAAAAATGAAAAAAATCACTTAATTTTCTCATTATTATTTGTTTTTATTTATAATTTTCCGTTGGCTGGTCTCAGATCCAAATTGCCCTTGAAAACATTAGTACCATTAGAAAAATTATCGACGGAACTTTGCATATGAGCATGTTATCTGTAATTATACAATAGATAGAAATTTTGCGATTCCTACAGAAAAATTAAATTTAAATGTCAGTGCAAGTATGGGACAAGTACAGTATATTTCACATGCATTAGAGTAGCCATTTTGTCATAAATTCAATATGAGTTCGAGCAAAAAAGATGTTCTCAAAACTAGAGTGAGTGTTATTTTCTATGGTAATTTATTTAATAATAGGTTTAACATGTTTGACGTGCGACTATTAACACAGCAGAGGTAAAGTTTACATTACATAGAATTTTTACTCATAATTATGGGTTATCAAAAATATAGTTGCGTATAATTTTATGAATTACCCTTCTGTAAAGTTCCTATTCCTATATGTTATTTAATTGTTTTAGGAAAATATGAGTTTGGTGAAAACATTCGGAAGTATCAAAGATAATTTTAAACTTAAACCCCAACAATACATTATCGACAATTGGGTGTTCAAACTGCACTATAAAGCTACGGTGCTATTTTTTCTAGTCGCATCTATTTTAGTAACATCCAGACAGTATATTGGTGAACATATACGATGTATATCGGACAAAGGAGTACCAGAACATGTAATGAATACGTATTGTTTCTTTACTACCACATTTACAGTAGTAAGTACCTTAAAAAAATTTAATTAAGTACATACATATGGCAATTTTGAAAATATAGAAAAGTTACTCTATTAAGGGAAAGAAGCACTTATGTCATGAATAAATATTGCGAAATATTAAAAGCGTACATATTTTATATGTATACAATCTAATAAAACATATAACACAGTAGGAAATGCCATCCTCATCAAGGTAACCTAAACTATCATTATATGATGAAATATTTTGTAAAAATATAGGTTGTCACGTATTTATTAAAACGAACGCTTTCGCAATAAAAGATTTGCTTGGTGTAGTTACACAGCAAAATATACACAAGTTTGCATATCTTTGTATTGTTATTTTTTTGTATTGAAATTTTATCAAACCTAAGTAGGCAATTCATATCTACATAGTAGACACATTAAAAACATCAGGATATTCATTTTGGCTGTTTTGTTATTCTAGCCCTATGTGAATTCTACCGAAGAGGATCCTGAGGTTTGATAATAATACATTTTAGCATGTATTTCTCATGGAAGCCCAAAATACTCTAAGCTTTCCACTCTATTTTTTATGCATTTACAGAAAAACATGCCTTTGAAATATTTTATATTGTGAAATTATTGTGCAATGGAATAAATTCAAATTTGCAAAATTACTAAAATAACAATGATAAATAAACAACACTAATTCTACTTATGGACTATCTTAAAATGATTTGCATGTCCTCGAGTTAACTTATATACACACCCACTAAATTTTACAATATTGCACAAATACTTTATTTTTTATGAAACATTCTATTTTTATTAATAAAAAAGTCACAATACCCATTTAGGATTTCTATAATAAATGTGCAGAAGTGTTAACATAAATCAAGTTTACATAGCTCTTCCAAAATTATAATTACTAAGTTTTATACTCAAATTACTTTTTCATATTTTTGACTACTTTTCGCTTTATAACAAATGTGCACTGCGCTCTGCGCTTTTTGAATGATACGTACTTAATTATTTAAATTATAATTTTGTTGGTGAATACTATATTTAAGTTTTATAGGTTAAAGCACTGGATGATAAATTATTAGACACTGGTAATTTAGCTCACCCCGGGGTGGGGCCCTATGGGATAGATTCACCTGAACCCATAATACGACATGCGTATTACCAATGGGTTCCATTTGTACTATTTTTCCAAGCAATCATGTTTTACATCACACATTTAATGTGGAAAAAATTAGAAGGTAAATATTTATCTGTTTATTTATTATCTAATATAGAGTTAAGTTTTATAAGGAGTAAGATGAATCTATTACTGTAATGATTTTTAGGTGGTAGATTAAGATTTTTAGTAGACTCATTAAAGTGGACTGCGTTTTCGCTGGAAGATAAAGAAATGAAAGTAGGAGACAACAAAATACCTTCGAAAAGCGACAAGTATGCTTGAAAATTAAGAATTACACAGACAAATGCAAGAGTTTTTTAATTTTCAGAGAAGCAAAAATCATGCAGATCCGAAAACTATTCCTCGACGGAATGTACATTAACAAATACTGGTCAGTGAAGCTGATGATTTGCGAAATTCTAAATCTGCTGCACATCGTACTGCAATTTTATATAACAGACAAATTTTTGGACTACCGTTTTAACGACTTGGGCTCGACGGTTTGGAACGAAGGCCTGGATTCCAGCGTCGATGTATTGGACGAAGTTTTTCCTAAGGTAAGGCCGTAATTTAACCCGCTACACATTCGATTTTCTGTGCACAAAATCGCTAAATAACAACGCCACCGCTGTTACATAAATCCAATCCAACACGATTTACATTTACCTTTATTTATATTACACGTTAAACGTAAGTACTTGCACCTCGGGAAGAACATTTTGTAAGAGGCAATAATTTTGCAACGCCGAATGTGTTTCTGCAATTTTCTTCTCGCATGTACACCATGCACCGTATGTTCAATGTACCGTTCATTTTTCGTGCCATTATGCAAAAATTTAAACTCCATTTCACAAAGACCGAATCCAAATTGTTGTTGAAAAAACGGTTTGTAATTATGTACTGTGATTCAATTCGAAACAATAGGGACTATTCACACAACAGTAATTTATATGTTCGGGATTATCGTCGATGGAATGAATGGGTTGTTTTTTTCATTGAATTTCTGGTAATTATTGACCCATACTCTCTTTTTAAGCTTTCGTGAGGTTAGCATTAGCTTAACAAATTTACCTGCTTCTGGTCTATATAAAATAAGAACCATAAGCTTCTAAAATATGGTAGAAGTTGTGTGTTAATAAAAGGAAAAAATTGAACATTTGTATGCAGGATTATATTTCGTACAATAAAAAAATCCTGTTTTTTAAACAACGTCGGGGTATAATATTTTTCTTTAAAATCAAAGATCGTGTTCTCGGAATTCTTTGCTTAGAATGCAGAATACCATAATAAATCGTCAAGGGAGAATGAAATATGGAACCGAAGGAGCACTTTGGACATTTCGTGAAACTAACAAATGACGAACATGGTTTCTCGGAAACATAGTGAAATAGTACACAAAATTGTCCTTAGATCTTGAAGCTTAAAGAATTATTGAATCATAAGATTCACAAGTCGAATATGACAACTACAAATCGAAGTAATTATTTTGGTACCTAATAATAATCATTCTGGAAACGTAAAGTAAAATCTGTAGAAAGCTGGGGCGCATATTATTTTATCAATTTAACTTATTACGAATATCACCTGCGATGATATTTAATATAAAATGTCTCACATTTTTCTTGAACAATGGTTGGGTTGTTAAACGAGTACATAGTTTCCAGTTAATTTGTAGCACTCGGACATTATGTTAAAGTTAAATACAATAGAAATCCTTGGTGAAAGGGAACATCAATTTAGACTACCGATTGAGTCTTCTGTTCGAACGAATTAGCCGGCATCGATGATGGTAAAGAGTTCACCTTGTAATAAATTGTTCATTATTCATTATGCCTAACCTATCGAAGAGCAACCTTGAGGCATAACGCAGACTAGAGGGACGGCGATGCGGTGGATGTATAGTAAAGTTGAGTCGAAAAGTGCATGTTTTTCGTGATGAATGGGCATTAAAATTCCAACGTGACGACAAAAGATCAAGAGATCACCTGTAACGCCTTACCTTGCTTTGTTTTTGCAAAGGCTTTTCGCGTGCACACGTTGGGAACACACCAGACAGTTTCTCTAAATGAAAATGTTTATAATATTGCTTGTTTCAGATAACCAAATGTACGTTCCACAAATACGGTCCATCGGGAAGCATCCAATTCCACGATGCAATGTGCATTATGGCTTTGAATATCATCAACGATAAAATCTACACGGGCCTGTGGTTTTGGTTCATCTTTATTTTTATTTGCACTGCTTTGGGGCTGTTGTGGAGATTGTTGACTATTGTAATGCACGCCAGATCGAGAGGTAAGTTAATAAAACTAAAAAATACTTAAAAAATTGTTCTAACAACATTTATAGGGTTTAACCGAATGGTGTTCGCAAGTTCATGTCCAGGAAGGTTGAATCCTTGGAATGTTTTGAACGTGTCGAAACATTACAGCTACACAGATTGGCTGTTTTTGGTCTACTTATCCAAAAATATTGATCCTGTGGTATTTAAAGAAATTTTCGTGGGTATAGCTGAAGACATGGAGGAAAAGAGGTCTTTAAAACAACCTTTAATAAACGATTCGATGGACTTGTATTGAACTTAACTTAATTGCGCAATGATTGTGCCTGTTTAATTTCATTTTACTGTCTAATCTAAATCGTAGATACACCATGTAATGAGATATTTGTAATAATATACCAAAAAATTGAACTGACTTGTACTGGTAGATATTAAGAATTTCCTGCCGAGAAGTGATATATAAATGTGACTGTAGGTAAAATTTAATTTAATGCTTCTATAAAACTGAGAATAAGAACATTACAACATATCAATACAGACGTGTATAAAATATGTGTCATTGTATGAAAATTATGTTTTAGAAAATTATGTTTATTTTTTATAATAATTATGGTGTTTTGAACATTTCTAAAATCTTCTAAAGTGAATATGGCTGTAGTTATATTAAGTCAATAAATGTTTTTTACAAAAATGTTTAGTTTCAATGAAGCAAGATTACAATTTTGAAAACCCAAGAGAACCAATTTATTTTCAAATTTATTTTTACCTCTATCGGTTCAATACTTTCTAGGTCTTGTTGATATAGAAATGTTGTTTTAGTGATTTACGATCTGTTGGTTTAGTGATCAAAGCACAAAAATCCTGGTCTCTTCCTAATCTTTGATCCTGGCGTCTGTTTATCTGCATGTGGCGTTACAATTCAGCAGACTCGTCATTTTTAACGTCTTTTTGGCTACTATCATCGATGTTGATAGCTATAATTCTTGTGTACAATACAGTTTTAAATTTACAGCATGCTTTATCATCGCCAAGTAAGCCGGTGATGCGATAATTCGCGCATTTGTGCTGTGTGAAAGTACAAAACGTGGACATTTATTACAAGGTTAGATCGATAAAAGGATATTATTTACTATTTGTTGTTGGAATGCGTTTAATCGAATTTGTTTTATAATGTCGAATAAACTTGTTTGCTGCTCGATGTTTAAGAAAATTATCATTAAATGGCACCTAGCAGTCGGAAATCGATGTTAAAGGCCATTTACTGTACTATTGCCGATTGATGTGGGTGCGACCTACTATTCTCGAATGGCTAAAATCCCAAAATATCCAATAACCTACTGAAATATAGTGGCAGACATTATTTTTTATCATAATGAATATGAATGAAAGAATGAGTGAGCGCCGTGGAATGAAATATGATATTGAGGAGTAAAATACAAAAATAGAAGAATATAATTTACACTTATCGATATTTTGTAGTGTTTAAATAGGTACGGTTAACAAAATTTTTGCTCTAGTCCAGTGATGTGCATCTTCAATTCTTTTTAGAAGATTTTTGTAGCATTCTTGGCAATAAAATTTTACTGCTTCTATTAATTTTTTATGTAGGTATCAATTTAATTATGTCTAGTGTTTTATAAAATCATGCAATTTTAGCTCCTCTTTGTTCATCAAATATTTCGTTTATTAACTCCTTCAATTTAGATCTTCACATGGAGAAAAAGAAAACTTATCGGTTGTTATGAAGCCATAACGAAATTTCATTCAAGGCTTCCATTTCCACGTGTTCTGGGAGACGACGAACCAGCAAGAACCATGACTCAAATCGTTAGTACGCTCGCCTATCAACAATTCAGCATGACTTTCATGAGACAAAAAAATAGGTTATATAATTGCCATGGGTATTACTGTAAAAAGCTCCATGGATGTGGACATTAACCAACACGACCGACGACCGTCGACCATTGTGGGTCTGCTGAGACATCGAGATCGTCGATCTGTCGGTCATTTGCGAACAACGACCCGCAACTGCCTAGCAAGAAATGGATTTTAGACCCATATCCGACGTTGCCGAATTTACCACATTTTCGATGGAAATGCTTAAAAAACTATGGGGTTTGATGATGTGGTGCTTTTACTGATCGAAATGGTTTAGAACTATTTTTTCTGACAGTATAAGGTTTGTAGTAGATCTAAATTACATTTTCACATATTGATAAAATTATAGAAAATTTAGCAAAAATCATCAAATGTTTGTCAAAAAATGTATACAATTTTTGATGAGTTTCTTATATTTTTATTAATTTATATTTGCCAACAACGCTAATGATGATCTATCTGTGCATCAGGAGAGCGATGACATTTTTTCGTGTTTACGTCGAGTAGGGAAATGCCTGACTGCTCGTAATTATTAACTGTTTTTGAATAGATAATTTGATAAAAAGTTCGTCGTACTTCTGGTTTTCCGAATTAAAAAATATTCATACATTGCTAAAGGAAATCTGAAATTATTCAGCTATTTCTATAGATACATATCTACTTTTAAAATGCTAATGGTGCAGCTTATGTAAGAAAGATTTAGAAATATTACTACATTAGAAATGCTAAATAATGCAGTGTAATTAGCTATAAAATTAGCAAAGAAAATGGTATATTTGAAAATCAATGAAAATGTGAATTATACTTAAGCTTATGTTATGAATTAACTACATCTTTTACATATGTAGAAAGGTGGGTAAAATTACAAATTTAAAATTCTGATGGTTAAATATTTTTTTGAATACCTCTATCTGAGGAACGGATTTACTGTTTGCATTTTAATCTAGTGTAAGGTGTGAATCTTTACAGTTCCTAGAATTTCGTATGTAGAACCGCATTTTTGTCTGCTTTCTTTTTTACTTTCGAAATTTTATAAGGCCATAAAATACGTTTTAGAGAATTTAGATATACCTACATAAATTTTAAATATTTATTCTATGACGACTTGTTGAAATGTAAAGTACCTGTACTTTTAATTCTGAAATTAAGTTAATTTGTGAATTACTGCTTTCTTATAAAAAACACACATTATTTCAACATATTTGGTTATAAATGGTTATTAAAATTACAAAATAAAATTCTATGTAACAAAGGTCACTGAACCAGAATATTGCTTGCTAAATTTTACAGGAAAAACTTCTCAAAAAAATGTTTTTAATGTAAATAATGTGAAATTTATTCTTCTAATCGCAATCTTTTATTAATTAAGAAATAAAGGCAAGAGTATAGTAAAGTAATTTGAATCAACAACCATTTATTCCAATATTTAAAGAACCAAATGCTTCATCAAAACTGACAGAATGTACATACAATGGATCAATAAACATAATTAAATAATTTTACAAATACATAACTGGCCCACTGAATTCTCATATATTTGTTCTATTAGCTCTCGTAACATATGTTCTTAATTTTATGGCGTTATCGTTAACAAACATGTGGTTTGAAGATTGCGCAAGTATCTACAATATACTCGAATATGGACTGAATTCTTTTGCTGCCATTTCAGAATGTCTCTCTCGGAACGACACATGGTACTAACGTGCGATAGAACTACATATTTTCTGATAACGAGTTTCTTAAAAAGGAGCACAGAAAAATCTTCCATCAATCTAATGTCAACTAGGTACTATATTCTCAAGCACACAATGAGTAATAAATTTTCTATAGATGGATACATTCAATGTAATAATTAACAACTAAAAACTTTTTTGCGTATACAATGCATTAAAGATATTATAGGCACTTTAAAAAAGTTCATATTACATTTTTTAATTTTATAATTTCCTATCAAGTTTTGGTAATATATTTATTAAAGCAACTTACATAAGACTCTTACTTAAGCTTGCAATTACAACCGTTAATGAATCGATTTTATCAGTACCTACATTACTTAAAATTAAAAACAATAGTAGATAATTCATATCCACATATTCGCAAATAGGCATCGATCAATAGATAGAATACAAAGGCATTAAATTTGTCGCAAAAACCCATTGAAAAGTGCACTTCCTCATTTCAGCGATAAAACTACCATAAATAAATAAATTGCATAAACATTCGACTCTCTATCGATAAAACGTTATGCAACTTTATGAACCATCTTATCTGGGGCAATTAAAGCGTATTTGTTTACATTATTGTATGGGTTTTGTTGTGATTTATCCGCGAACAAATAGCAAACATTAATATCAATAATTATTATTGCTCCTTGTAAATAAAGCACGTGCTCGGTGCTAAAGAATGACGCCCTGTTCATTCAGTAATTCTCTGGATAAGAGATAATAACTGATCAATGTTTTGTAATAAAGGTCATTAAAAAATTTTAATTAGGTATCTACTAAAAAATAAATAATAAAAAAAATAGATGTGATTTGGAAAAAAGAAGTAAACACGCTTCTATTTTGGATATTTAGTGTGGTAAAGGTATTAAATATGCATTTATCGGTAATTTTCATCAGCTATTGGACCACCTACAGTAAAGGGAGAGTCGTAAATAAAAACTAGACGTTCCTTCTCTCTCGCTCTGTGCATTGTTAACGACCGTTTTGATAAACAATAAAATAAGAGGTTTTTCAGAGAAGGTTATTCGTTATTAGCTGATTTTAATCCACCGTGGCTTTACTGCACTTCAGGGTGGTCTTTTACTCTACTGTACAGACCGAGATTGGATCAATTTTGTGGTCAGTACCATCATAAACTGGCTAGCGTCTACTTATTTTTGGTTTTTTGAATATTTAATTTAATTCAGTCTACGATGTACAAACGTTGAGCGGCGTTCGTTTGAAATTTTTATACGAGACGACGGGGATAATGAAGAAAGTGAAAGTGAATTCTTCGTAAATATAGAAAAATTTCAGCGCAAGTTGTAGTATCACCAAAAATGCTACCCGAGGGTGGAGAGTGTGGATATCAGTCGAGCAGATGCAGGGCTGTATTTCTATTTTAGGGTTTGCCCTAGTGGACCAAGCATTCCCTCGACATCTTCCCATTATATTAAAACCTAACTGTTTACACGCCCCGCCGCACGGGTATATTTACCTACCCCGGTAAATTTTTTGTTCTGTAGACAGATGTCTGGTATCTCCGAAAGTCTGAAACTCGGGAGATTATTTTTACGAGTAGTGCACGTTCATGCGGGCTGCACGGTTTACTTATTTTTTATTGCCCATCGAGGCTTTGATCGCAGTTGGGCGTTTATTGCCGGAAATGAATTTATGGTTACTTTAAGGAGCATTAATTTTTATTTTATATGCAACCTTTGGTTCTGTCCAAAAGCTATTTGATTTTGTGGCGCAGCATGGAGAAAGTGGTGTTTTTAAACCATGGCAAAGGATAACTCCAAGGTCCAAATGGAGATTTGTTTAGATAGACAGTGACAAAAAAGTGCCCGGAAGATTGGAATAAAACTGAAGTAAAATTCCTAATCTTCCTTAATTTTTCTCAAAGCTCCTTCAAAATATACTCCTTTTGAAAAATATACTTCCATTTTTGGGTTTCCAAAAAACAGAGTCACCTTAAACATTTGCATCGATGCGGACCACGAAGTTTAAAACCCAAAATATGACAGAAACTCTTTGTTTATTATTTTTGTCCATTGCAAAATCCGCAGAGCATTACTAAGATGAACTGATTCAATCA